CCCGTTCGTCATGATGAATCTATTGTGGCGGTGGATCTGAAGGCGGCGACGATGTGGGTAGCGGAGTCGGCATCGTTTTGGGGAAGAGATGAGTCTATGTGAGTCGAATGAACATGGTGGTGGCCGGTTATGTGGGGATGGTTATCGGAGGCGGTGGCTATGGCGTTGGTGGCGGTGGTGCAGATCTAGGGTTTCATAATGAATAAAGGCGGCTATGTGGTGACAGATCTAGGGTTTCATAGTGAATAAAGGCGGATATGGTGGCTAGGGTTACGTGGCTGCGAGTGGCGGCGCGCGGCTGCTATGTAGGGTTTGCGACGGCGGAAGTTATTTTTTCTTTGAGTTAAATGCAAAAACCCCCCCTGTGTTAATCCTAAAGACCAAAAACCCTCCCGGGATAAAAAAAGTGACAAAAATCCCCCTGTAATCAATAGTCAAAGCCATGCACCCCCCTAATCTTGGTGCGTGTCATTCACTCACCGGGTGTGCGACTACTTATGCGATTTTTATACATTTTGTGCGTGAAAAGACAAATTTACCCCTCTGATTCTACACTCATAACAAACCCCTCACGTTTCAAACACCACAATTTTCACGCACTAAACACATACTAAATGGCGATGGCGGCGGAGCCGCCGGAGCAGGAACCGGCGACGCCCAATCTCTGGGCGGAGCTGCTGAGAAAAATGCTGTCGGAAGGCGCCCCTCTGCCGGACGACGACCAGCTCGATTACTCCATTTCCGTCGATTACGCCGGCCCTCCCCCATTTTACAACCCGCCGCCGTTAAATTCCACCTTCCCCAAACCAAAATTCACCACCTTCCCCAAACACCCACCCTCCCTCTCCCCCAGAAACCCTGCCTCGTCCAAATCCGCCTCCAGTTCCGACACCACCACCACCTCCGACAACTACAACAAACCCTTGAGCGCCGCCCATCGCCTCCGACGACGGCGGTGCCGCTTCCGATCTGCCGCTTCCGATCCCGGCAATTCCCCTCGCTCCGATGAGGTTAAAACCGAAACGAAGCACGTAAAACGTGGGATTAAAAGCAGAAGGTGCAGTAGGTGCAGAAATCGAGGTAAAGGAATTATATGGGGGAAAGAGGGGTGCGTAGTGTGCGGAGCAGAGTACTGTAAAAAATGCTTGTTGAAGGCGTGGATGCATCCGTACGGTGATGTGGCTGCTTGGTTGGTTGCCGGAGAGGGGTTTCGGTCCATGAACGGAGCCGACGACGGCAGTGGTGGGGTGGGGTGAGGTGCGCAGAGAAATTAAAATCAAAGTGTGTGTATTTGTGTGTCTGTGTGTTTTTTTCATTTGAGGAAGATGGCTTAATTGAAAATATTAGGGACTGAATTGAAAATTTTATAAACTTCATTTGGGTCATAAAATTTTAGATGTTGGACAGATTTATCTGAGGGTTTATTCGTCTTTTCACGAGCAGTCAACGGATAAAAATAAAATGGGTCGAGTGTGCATGTTTGTACACTTATTAGGGGGGTTGTTGTCACTTTTTTTATCCCGGGGGGGTTTTTGGTCTTTAGGATTAACACAGGGGTGTTTTTTGCATTTAACTCTTTTTTCTTTTAGGGTTTGGAACAGTAAACCGTAGTAGACCATAGTACACTGTAGTACACCATAGTACTGCATAGTATACCATAGTATTTTCATAGTCTACTATAATATTCACAGCAGATAAAATTTAAAAAAATATATGTAAATTGAACAAAAACACGATTTTTTTTTTATAATTTTTAATATTATGTACGAAAAAAAAAGATTTTTTTATGTTTTTTATAATAGTGTAAAAATGATATAATTAGATTTTTATAATAATGAAAACAATACGACATGGGAAAAAAATGTGTTCTACGTAAAAAGAAATAATAAAAAATGCTAGATGCAAAAATGAAAATATTAAATGCGGAATTAATAATGATAAATACATTTTAAATATTATTTGATGTAGATTTCATTTTTTATTGTGAAGGGCATTTTTGGAATAAAATTTATAAAGGATGTGAAGCAAAAGTTTAGTTACACTTGTCATTTAGTTCTAATAAGTTTTGTCACTAGGGACCTATATCTTAAGACCCCCCTTAAAAGAATGTATGGTTGGCAAACTAAAAGATATGTGTGTTTGTAGTTGGAATCTACACTAGAATCTCGATAAATAAATTAATAGTTTTGCTTAAATCATAATTTCTTTTAGTCTCGATTCGATGACAATAGCCTAAATTATTAATTTGATAATTTAGTATTTTGCTAAATTAATAGAATTTTATTGATACCACTCGAGATGTATTGGGTATCGATCGTTACTTTATATTTTCGTTTTTCGTATTTCTTCATTTGTAATTTGTAAATGTAATTAGTGATGTTATGAAATAGAAGGTTATTTTTGTCATTTTAGATCGATAGTTTGTCATAAATAAATGATTATTTATTTATTTATTATTTTTTTTTAAATTAATTTGGTACATAATTTGCTAAATTAAAATAAACAAAAATAATTTCCCCCAAATCTCTTTCGTTTCCAAATTGCACCCTAAAAATGGCGATGTAAAAGCAATTGCCACCACCACCACCAGCAGTACCACCATGGACTACGCCAGATGGGCTGAAATGCAGCAAAACCCTAATTCAGGTGTTCCTCTCTTGCACACCGTTAATTACTCCGCCGGCTACTCTCACAACCCTAATTCCGATCCTTACCAACCACCCGCCGTTGATCCTCATAACGCATTGTATCAGCCTCAGCTTCAGCCGCCGGGCTTGGAACCGCCGTATGTGCCGCCGGCGATGACCGTCGAATACGCGCAGCAACCAATCAGCTATCAGCCTCATCAGGTTGATGCTGCCGCTATTGCTGCTCACGCTTCTTATTATTATTATCAGGACCCAAACTTGAATTGGGCAGATGCTTTCACGCAGATTGGTGCCACTAATTATACGCCGGTAAGTTTTTATTTCACTTTTTTTAGCGTTTGTTTTTGCTTTTCCGGGAGAAAAAAAATCTGATTTTGCCGACGAAATCGAAAATTTACTTGGTTTAATTGGGCTGATTTAATGTGGTTTTGTTGAGTTACATGTGGAGTTGTTTGCCTACGTGATTTGAAGAATGATAATATTGCACCTGCCATAGTTTAACTGATGCTTGGATTCTGCTTATGTACCCTGATTGTAAATCGGTAAATAATCGACATCTGTGGTCCGGAAACTGGATTTGAGTTTTGATTTACGGTTGTTCGTTTCTTGTTTTAATGCCTTTCCACGTTGGATTTCGGGGATTCTTAGAACGGAACAGTTAGAAAGATTTAAACATGTAGATTAAAGACATATGTCGTCAAATATAACCGTAACAGAAATAATTCACAACATCAGATTTCTGAATTCTGGACATGTTTTTAGTGCTTCTGCACTTGTCAATAAGTTAAAAAGATGAATTGAACAGGAATAATATTTGAAAAAAAAAACTGTTTTTTAAAGACATGAATTTCCATGCGAATATGTAGTATTCGTGGAAAAATTATATAGTTTTTTTAAAATGTGTACACGTAAGAGTTCTGTTGTCTGAGAGGATGGACACATACATTATGACACGTGTATAGTGAACGGAGATCGCATGACGCCCAAGTGTCAAGATTGCATATTAGTCTTACCGGTATTTATGGTTGACTATGGTCAGGAATGTGTTTTTGATCATAAAGAAATATACGAAAGATATTGTCCTATGGTTCTATATGAACGTAAGAGTTTATGCATTGGACCATTCCGTTGGGGGTGAAGTGGCAAAATTGATAGATACTATTGATCTACTCTTTCGTTATGTTCGTGTATTTCGCAAAGCACTGCATAGTTGTTAAGGCCTTTCTTAGAGTTATTGCTCAAAGTTCAAACTCGTTTTATTTTCGGGTTTTTTTTAATCAAGTAATGTGTTCTGTTTTGTGGCATAGGGTTTAACTACACCTAGTACAGCAATTCAGCCTCAGAAAAGAAATATTTGGAAAAAAGGCCCCAAGAAGCCGAAGATTGTGCAATCTGCATGGTGTGGAGTTTGCGGAGTTGATTGTAACAGCAAAGATGTTCTCGATCAACATAAGTTGGGAAAGAAGCACCAAAAAAATCTCGAAAAATTAAAAGGAACAGCTGCAACTAAACCTGGCCCATCTGCTCATTCCCCTGCCGTTTTAGCTGCTCATTACCCTACCATTGGAGCTGCTCATTACCCTACCATTGGAGCTGCTAATTACACTACCGTTGGATCTGCTAATTACACTACCGTTGGATCTGCTAATTACACTACCGTTGGATCTGCTAATTACACTACCGTTGGATCTGCTCAATACCCTACTGCTGTAGCTGCTCCTTCCCCTGCCATTGTAGCTGCTCCATCTGCGATTCTTGATGTATCGACACCTTTGCCTGTATCTGCCTTAACGCAAGCAAATAATCCAATTATTCGACCAGAAGTGAATCCAGAAAAGCCGAAATCTTCCAATGCCACCATTGTAGCTGCTCCATCTGCGATTCTTGCTCCCTCCCCTGCCTCTGTAGACGCATCCACACCTTTGCCTGTATCTGCCGTAACACAAACAAATAATCCAATTATTGGACCGGAAGTGAATCCAGAAAAGCCAAAATCTTTCAGTGCCACCATTGTAGCTGCTCCCTCTTCAATTCTTGCTCCCTCCCCTGCCCCTATAGATGCACCTACACCTTTGTCCGCCTCTGCCTTAACGCAGACAAACAAACCAATTATCGGACCAGAAGAGAATCCAGAAAAGCCGAAATCTGCGAATTATAGAAAGGCAAAGAAGAAGGCAGCTGCGCGAACTGAGAATTTGGAGACGAAAAGAAGAAAAGTCTTGGAAGGTGGAGCAGCAGCTGAAACGGTGCATGCGTGCACCGTATGTAACGTGGTCTGCAATAGCAACACTGTGTTCAGCCATCACCTTGCTGGTCAAAGACACGCGTCGATGGTCAAAAAGCTCGCTTCTTCTGGCGCTCTTTCTCTGCCATGCTGAACTGGATTGGTTAGTCGATATTCTGGGGCACTCCACTGTACATTTTTTTTTCCGTGTAAGTTTCGGCCTTCGTTTGCCGAATATGGGTTTGAACTAAATTCAATTGTTTCATCTGACTGACTGACTACATTAATTTAATTGTTAAAATATTTTTGTAATTTTATTTTCCTTTTCATGTAGGGGCAACTTCGACATATCATGATTTTCATTTGGAATGGTTAAATATAATTTTACAAATAAAGAGTTTTTTTTGTAATTTAGAATTTAGATGTACCCGGTTATTTATAATTTATCGTATGTATATATATATATATTTTTTAATTCAAGGGTAATTTAAATATTTTAAAGGTTTGAGAGTTTTTTACTGACCATTAATTTGATGAGTAAAATGAAATTTGTTAAACATAAGGAGTTTTTGGTAATTTAACATGCCTAATTTTAATTGTAATTTAACATGCCTAATTTTTGGTAATTTTAATTTACTCAAATTAAAATCTTGAAATAGTTTCACCGCCTTGCTACCACCGTTCTCCGCCGCCGCCTCCTCCTCCGTCAGATTTCTACTGAAACACAATTTCTTGTTTCATTATTTATAAATAGTTTGGCAGTAAAGTCTACTTTCAAATAATTTAAACGCACTCCAAAACCAAAATTTTCTCTCGAAAGAAGAATGCATCGCGCGATTAGCTGCAGCATCAGAGTTTAACGCTTTCTGGTTATAGTTCACGAATTAGTTTCGCTGTTCATGAATGGCCAATGCCCGCCTCTGTCTCGAACACTGAAAAACTTGTTTTCAACCACCGCAGAGCAATGCGAGTCACTGTTATTCCGCTGCGCCACCACCACCAAATCCGCGGCAACCACCAAGAAACTGCACGCCCACGCCATCACCTCCGGCCTAATCTCAAACCATTTTCTCTCTCTACTGACGTCTGCGTACGGTCTTTGTGGCCACCTGCAGTATGCCTGCAGGCTGTTCGATGAATTGCCTGAACGAACGCTTGTTTCATACAAGTCCATCATAAGAATGCACACGGAGAGTGGGAACCCTCGAGGTGCGCTCAAGCTGTTTGTCGAAATGCACGAGTCGGGTTGCTACTGGGCAGACGAGTATACTTACCCGTTTGTTATTCGATCTTGTGGTGCTTTAATAATGCCTGAGCTAGGCATGGGGATTCATGGGTTGGCGGTTAAGAGTGGGTCTGTATCAGGCAGTTTTGTGGGGAATTCTCTGCTTGCAATGTACATGAGTTGTGGGGATAAAGATGGGGCTAGAAGAGTGTTTGGTGCAATGAAGGAGAAAACCGCAGTCTCTTGGAATACGATGATTAGTGGGTACTTTCGAAACGGCAGCGCCGATGAGGCTTTGATGATTTTTAGGAAAATGATGGATTGTGAAGTTGAGTTTGATTCTGCAACAGTTCTCTCAGTTTTACCTGCTTGTGGATACCTAAAGGACTTGAAAATGGGGAGGGAGGTTCATACGCTGATAAAAGATAAAGATATTGGGAAACGATTGGCTGTTCAAAATGCTTTAGTCGATATGTATGTCAAGTGTGGAAGAATCGATGAAGCACGTGGTGTTTTCGATGCGATGGTAGATAGGGATGTCGTGACATGGACTACTGTGATCAATGGGTACATTTTGAATGAAGATGTTAAAGGTGCGTTAGAATTTTGCAGATTAATGCAGTTTCAAGGTGTGAGACCTAATGAGGTGACCTTGTCTGCAATTCTTGCAATGTGTGTCAGTTTACGTGATTTGAAGCTCGGGAAATGCTTGCACGGATGGGCTATTCGTCAGTACATTGATTCTGATGTCAACGTTGAAACTGCTCTGATTGATCTCTATGCCAAATGCAGTTCTTTAAGACACAGCTTAAAGGTGTTCTCTAGGACTTGTAAGAAGAGAACTGTGCCCTGGAATGCAATTCTTTCAGGGTGCGTTCATAACAAGTTGGGCAGAGAAGCCATACAACTTTTCAAGCAAATGTTGTTCGAAGCGGTGAAACTAAACGATGCAACGTGGAAAAGCCTCCTGCCAGCATATGCCATTGAAGCAGACCTTCATCAATCAATGAATATACATGGTTACGTGATAAAATCGGGGTTTGTTAGAAAACCCGACATTGTCACCGGTTTGATTGATATATACTCAAAGTGTGGAAATTTACAGTATGCTCATAAGCTCTTCGACGACCTTTCTATAAAAAACAGGGACATTGTTTCGTGGAGTGTGATTATAGCTGGATACGGGAAGAACGGAAACGGCAAGGTTGCTCTTTCTCTTTTCGATGAGATGGTTCGGTGTGGGGTTAAGCCTAACGAAGTCACTTTTACTTCCGTTTTGCATGCTTGTGGCCATTCGGGGTTGGTTGACGATGGATTAAACTTATTCAATTATATGATAAAGAATCACAAGGAGAGTGCAAGAATGGATCACTATACTTGCATAGTTGATCTTCTTGGGCGTGCGGATCGTCTTGAAGAAGCTTATGAGCTGATCAGAACCATGCCTTTTGAAGCGAGCTGTGCTGTTTGGGGTGCATTGCTCGGTGCATGTGCGATACATGAGAATGTCGAACTGGGAGAGATAGCTGCAAAGTGGCTGTTCGAGTTGGAACCGGAGAATACTGGGAATTATGTGTTGTTGGGAAATGTTTACTCCGCTGTAGGAAGATTTGATGATGCCGAGAGAGTAAGGGGGATGATGGATAACATTGGATTAGTGAAAGCTCCTGCGAATAGTGTGGTTGAGGTGAGGACTATTTGATGTCTGTTGTTGTTCTCGGATTTTTTTTAATGGATGAATCAATTATTGGTCCAAAAGAGAATTCAGACGAGTCGAAATCTTCCGGTGCTGAAAAAGCAAGGAAGAAGGCAGCGCGGCATGTACTGAGAATTTGGAGACACGAAGAAGAAAAGCTTTGGAAGCTGACAATGTGTGTGCGTGCGTGCGTGCACTGTACGTAACGTGGTCAAAGACATGCATCGGTGGTCGAAAAGCTCTGGAGTTTTTTTATTAATATTATTAGCATTTTATTATTATAAATTATAATTAAAAAATTTGAAATAGAAAAAAATGTCCTGTAATTTATTTTTTAATTATTTATATGAATTTATTATCTAATTTTATAGTAATTATATTTAAAATAAAAACAAAAATAAAATAAAAAAACTCGCGAGCTCAGGAACTACTAAGAATGAGCTCGGGCTCTACTCGTTAGAAAGTTCGAGCTCTTGTCGAGCCAACTCAGCTCACTTACACCCAAGTAACTTGTATGGTAAGATATTAGAACTCGATGAAGTTCACATTCATCATCAATACAACGGGATAGGAACAAAACAGAATTCGTCGAAGTGATTTCAGCAAATGAATTGATAGTTTATTTATTCCAAGCTCAACCAAGAGTATTCTTTCACAAATTTTACATCGATTGACGAACTAGAACAAAATTAGGATAGATAAGAAGGAAGTGAAGCGATCCAATACAATTTATTACAAATGATACATGATCATTTTCTCATCTTCAGTATTTTTTCCTGATCAAATGTTTCTCATCTTCAGTATTTTTACGGACCTCTAATTTATTTCCAACGGTTCAATGTTCCATATGTCGTTAGCGTACTCACGAATAGTTCTGTCACTGCTGAACTTGTAGGAACCTGCTGTATTCAATATCGACATCTTTGTCCATCTCTGCCATTAACAAATAAATGCCCATATAAGTCAAATTTATTTATTTAATTTTTTTTTCTTAATGCTGCAATTTCAGAAAGAAGCTAGAACATTGAATTACTCTATAGCAGTTACCTTTTGATCCCTATAAGCAATATCAACCTTGTCTTGGCATTCAATGTAGCTAGGGAAATCCTTGCCCACCAGGAAATAGTCTGCACGCCCGAATCCTTCGTTTCCTTCCAACGATCCAATCATTTCATCATAGTTATAAGCCCCAAAAGCACCACTTCTCACAAACTTCTTCACTTCTTCAAAGCGTTCATCTGGTACAAACTGCAATATTTTTTTTGAAGACATTTAATTTCGAAGACACTGGTTTTGAAGGTATATTTAAAGGAAAAGATTGATAAATAGGCCATACAAAATAGACGAATGAAGTTGCACTGTTATTACCTCGCCTGCAGCTCTTTCGTTTCTAAGTGGTGCTATCTCGTGAGCTTGAGCCCCGAAAAGGAAGAAATTGTCGTCTCCCACTTCCTCCCTGATTTCCACATTGGCACCATCTAAGGTCCCAATCAAGATGCAACCATTCATAGAGAACTTCATGTTGCTTGTTCCACTGGCTTCCATACCAGCAGTGCTGAGGGGGTGGACACAAAGCACAAGCAAAGGGAATAAGTTGGTCGTTCAAATTTAAAAAGAGTTATCACCCAATCTCAGTTAGCGTGCAAAGTCGTGAAATTATGAGTAATTCTCTCATTCGCTGAAGGGGTATTATTATCTAGAAGAAAGTTAAATATATCTCCTTCACAGAAGTTACTAATAGCTGATGCAAATTTACTCATCCATACAGAACCAAGAAAATAGAAGACCTCCGATTGCATTATGGAGTACACAGAGCGGATGAATTGCAGAAAGAGGGTTCGTGAATTTGATTATAACATGTCACAATTTGAGCTTGATTACCTGATATGCTGTGAAAGTTCACTTGCAGGAATTAACAATTCAGCAACACTGACATTGTAATCTGGAACAAATATAACCTGCAGAGAGATCAAATGAATCAGACAACTAGGAAAAAACCTTGTATCGGTGCTACTTCCACACAGCAACTAGTGACAAACATAAATAAGGCAATGCCATCAAAAATTGGAAGAAAAAAAGAGTTATAACTTTGCAGGACAAGTATGATTTATACCTTCAACAAGTCACCAATATCTGGATCATGATTTATGGTAGCCCCAACATCTGTAATAAATTTTACGATTCTCTTGGCTTGTACATATGTGGAAAATGCTTTTCCTCCAAATATACAAACTCGGGGAACAAAGTTTGCTTTCCTTTCATCTGCAGTCATTTCTTTCATTTTCTTATAGCGATAAACAATCCCCAGAATGTTCAAAAGTTGCCGCTTGTATTCATGTATACGTTTTACCTGGAAAATTGGAAATTTTATTTGACGCTGAATCAAATCTTGGGATTATAAATAGTTGGAATACTGTGACAGAGAAACTAGGGAAGTTCTCTTTAAATATAACAAATAACCCAAACATAAGATCAATGCCTATTTACATCAATGACTCAAAGTTCAAATAAAGGAAATAATAGAGATTAAAGGAGAGAAATAAACCTGGATATCAAACATTGCATCAGGGTTAACAGAATACCCAGTTTTTTCTTTGAGGAATGACACAAGCTTAATCTTGTTGCTTTTTTTCGCAGCCCTCCACTCACGTTGGAGATCCTCGTTATCTGCAAACTGCCAATGATTGCACTCAAACTAGTCAGAATGCATATCGCTGCTTAAGCAACCCGAAATTAGAAGAATAAACAAAGTGCATATGGGGTTTAAAAAGCATGAATAATGAGCGAAAGATGCCGATCATCCATCAGTACGGATTTTGTACATAGAAAAAAGAGTACCTTGCGCAGTTCTGCCAATTTGTCAGTGTTTAGGACCCAGTCATTGCTGCCTATCCACTTGGTGATTACAGCACTTAGGTCAGGATTGCAATATTGGATCCATCTTCTAGGTGTTACCCCATTTGTTTTGTTCTGAAACTTCTCAGGCCACAACTGCAAAAGATTAACTCAACAACATTAAGATGTATTTGTTGCTTGAGAAAAAAACATATAACAAGTGGTGGAGACATTTTACCTGGAAAAAATCATTGAAGACTTCTTGCTTAACTATTTCACTATGGATCTCAGCTACGCCATTCACAGTATGACCCCCCACAACACAGAGGTTAGCCATCCGGACCATTTTTGGAGGTATATAAGCTGGTTCCTTATGTACAGCTTTATTCTTCTGTGTTTCCTCTCCATCAAGTTGTTCATCTTTCTCAGTAACTGTTACTTCATCTTTAGATTTAACTTCCTCACTGGTCTCATCAACAGGGCTTTCTTCTGGTTTGGCAAATAAGTCCGCAATAGAAGCTGGCAGATCAAAATTTTCCAAAATTCTCATTGTGGCCAATTTTTTCTCCAACATTTCAGGGTTCAATGTGCCATATTCGGATACTATGTCTTCAATTAGCTGATATATGTTTACAATGCAAAAAGTTGTGAGCAATATTAGGGGAAATGCAGGCTATTACTGTTTTAATATAATTTCGCATTTCTCAACCTGTTCATCAATCTTCTCTATGATCTCAACATGTCTTGGAAGTAGTCTCTGCATTAGATCATAACTCCATTTCTCCAGAGCCTCAGGTAAAACAGTGTGGTTTGTGTATGCCACAGTTCTGAAAAACATACCTCACTATTAATCATTGAGCTACACACACACACACACACATATTCCCTTCAAGTCCATCAAAATAGTTGGGTATCATGCATATAGAAGAGATTTCCAATGAAACTATGACGTACCTCTTTGTAATCCTCCAAGCTTCATCCCAACTCATGCCCTTTAAGTCCATCAAAATTCTCATTAGCTCTGGGATACACAGTGTTGGGTGAGTGTCGTTCATCTGAACAGCAACTTTTTCCGGAAAATCTTCCCATCTCACATCACCACCAGATCTTCTCTCAAATCGTGCAATAATGTCTTGCAGAGATGCGGAGCATAGTGTGTATTGTTGTTTCAATCGTAGAATCTTTCCCTCCACTGATTCATCCCCGGGGTAAAGTACATAACAGATCTGATGTCAGGCAGATTCAAAATATACTATTTCTTGTCAGCATTAGTATCACATAAAAAAAAATACAAAAGAAACAGAAAATTGGACAAAAAATGTTTAGATCAAAATATCAGCTCGCTTTTTTTTTTTTTTTTGGTATCAGCAGTTCTATTTGTAGGCATAAATCAAGTATACTCATTATACAGTAGGCGTGTAGGATCCAAAAAGAATCCCATGACTTAATCTATAATAATTAGTAGAAAAATATAAAAAACATGAGAAAGAAAAGTATACAAACAAGATCTTACTTTTTCAGCATTAGCTTGGGCCTCACATGCCTTAGTGTGTTCTCCAGCATTGAAGGCATGTAAATCAAATTGATCGGAAGGTACTTTAGTGGACCACAACCTAAGATTAATTGTAGTTTTGGTCTTATATCCTGGTATTGGCACATCATATGCAACAGCCACTATATCTTCACCACCAATCCATCTCTTCTTCCCATCTGAACCCTCAACAACTTTTCCAGAAAATTTTACAGGATAACAGACATCATTTCTGACGATTTCCCAAGGATTGCCATTCTGAGAAAAATGAGTCAAATATGCAAAACCAACTTTTTACCATATGAAATCAAATTTTCAGAAAATTATCTGGCATGGAAGTGGAGTAAAATAATGAATTTTGAGAAATCATACTTCAAGCCAATTTTCAGCAACCTCCTCCTGACCATCCTTTGTAAGCTGCTGCTTGAATAAGCCATACTTGTACCTGAGCCCATAACCCCATGCTGGATAATTTAAGGTTGCCAAGGAATCGAGAAAACAGGATGCAAGCCGGCCCAAACCTCCATTTCCAAGAGCAGCATCTGGCTCCTGAGAGGATCAGAAAAATAAAAGTGATTTATTGAGACTAAGAAAAAGGAATTTTATTACTCACAAATCAAATTTTTTAAGACGAACTTATATTTGCAATTAAGAAAAATAATCAAAATGCAAAAAAGGCAGTCATAAGTAGTAAACTCATCTGACCTGAGAAGCTACAGTTTCAAGAGTGTGGCCAAGCTTTTCCAGAGCATCTGCATATTCACCAGAGAGCTCCAAATTACCAATCGCGTTTAACAGAGCTCTACCCTGCAAAGAAACACATATTGCCACAGTAAAGATAAATAATAGTAAGGATTTGTCGTACATTTATACTGTACTACTGCACTTGCAATCCTTGATTGCAAGAAAGAAATTGAACAAACCTGTAAAAATTCCATGGACAAATAGTAGGCCTGCTTTACGTTCATCTTTTCATAAAAATCATTTGTTGCATTCCAGTTAATAATAAGTGCATCACGGACGCTTTGTGCAGCCGCAAAAAAAGCCTTTGGGGGCTCAAAGTTCTGAGGCGAAAACATTGGAGTAAATTCTGCATGGTATTTGATGCTTGAGGCAATCGATGCAGCATGAGGAGATAAAGCACTCAAATTGCTGAGAACTCCTGAAATCATAAGAAATACTCGAATAACATATATCTCATAAGCTCGGAAACGAGGAGTGCAATTGTTTCAACTAGTCATTATTTCTCTGTTATCCCATGATTCGATTTTCGACAAGTTAATCCGGTTCATCGTAAACAGGCTATTTGCACCACACCAAATCAGTAATACAACCCCAAAATCTCTCTCATCGCAGGTAAGCATGTACTACTATATATCATATTACATTTTGGAAGTAATTATTTCGTACACTTATGATTGATACTGTTTGTTACAGTGAGTGGAACTTTCTTGAAAAAAGAAGAAGATAGTAACTAACACATCTCTACAATACATACATATATCAATGTTATTAAATTAGATGCCACAATTCTACTTTGACATAGCAACACCAAAATTATGAGATTCAGTTTTCATGTAAAGCTACATAATTCCAATCAAGACCACCAGTCTTGTCAGCAATTAAACACCACCAATTCCCCAAATTCAACCACAAACAGCTCGTAATTTTTACTGCCTTTGTAATGGAACGTTTGATTTGTTCTTTTTCCATCAGATGCATTTACTTAGTAAGTTAAAATATCGACTTCACATAAAAGATCACACACACACACACACACACACACACACACACACACACACACACACACACACAACACACACACACACACACACACACACCTTCTTCGGCAATCGGGTCGCGTACTCTCTGCTTCGGCTCACTGGAGACGCACCTGACGCAAAATGAGGGTTTTACCCTTGCCAACAACAACACCTTGGAGCTCCGATCTCTGGAGGCGAAATCTATCAGCCTGGCATTGGAAGAACAAAGCGAGTACGCCGTAACCGCCGCTCCGGTGGACGAAGCCGCCATTGTCTGCGCTTATCACTGCTCTCACTCACTCACTCAATTTCTCTCTCTCTCTTCTAAATTGCGAGCATACTCTGTTTCTCTCTCTTCAGTAATTGCTGCGTACAGATTACTCCGCAGAAGGAGAAAATGCTTGGGGAACAGTGAGTGATGGGAGTGTGTTTGTTTTCTATCGATAAGCAGCCATTGGTATATTTTTTTGATCATTTACGGTTACTTTCTCGTGCCGTGACGTAAGCATAATAATCAATGTTGAGGGTTTTAGTTCTCTGCAGCCGGTTCTTTGACCGTAATTGTGCACCTGGTGCCACGTGTGACAGTTAACCAATCCCTATATTGTGGGCCTGAAGACTCGCTCTCTTTCTGTTTCTAACTAAATTGGGCTGGGCTGGGCTGTAGACTGTAGTAATGCTCTTAACCAAAAAGCCCGATCCGTGAAACAATAAGGGTAAATTGTAGTTTTGGTCCTCCATGTTGTCTTATTTAGGAATTTAGTCCCCTAACTTGTCATATTCCAACTTTATATGCTATAACTTTGCAAATATAGTATTTTTAGCCCTATTTCGCATGATTTTTAATTTTATGACGCGACAAATAAACTTGACCCATTTTACTTACATGGACACTTAAAAATTATAAATTCAACATCTAATTTACCATTGATAGAACTTTGTTTGTGTGAGACGACATATCTATAAATCAGATTAGAGGAGGATTTATAATTTTTAAGTGTTCATTTAAATAAATTTCGATGAGTTTGTTAGCTACATCATTAAACAATGGCTAAAATTCAAAGTCCGAGTGAAATAGGACAAAAAATACTAAATTTGCATAATTATTGCATGTAAAATTGAAATATGACAACTTGTAGGACTAAATCACTAAACAGACCAACATATATGACCAAAATTAAAATTTCTCAAACAATAACAATATAGGGAAAGTTAAAGTTTTCATCCTTTAAGTTTGCACTTATTCCACATTTGGTTCATCCATGTTCACACAAAACACATTTGGTCCTTCATATTTCAAAAATTCAACACCAAATGGAATCAAACATGTGCCCATTAGAGCAACTCCAATGCTAAACATCAAAATTGGATTATCAAATACTCATTTGATAATTAAGATAATATTTTAATATTCATTTATAGTTTATCTACTCCAAGCATGGATATCAAAATTAATAATCAATTGGAAGTTTTTTAGCAGTTTTATTTGTAATTGCCACGTGTCATTTTGTGATTGGATGTCCAGGTGGTTATTTTTTTGATAACTCAATTTCCAGGATGTATTTTTACATACAAAGAGGATGAATATCAAAATACTTACCCATTTTGATACTCCCATTGGAGTAGAAATTTTTAATTTTGGGTTGTCAAAAAGTTGATTTAAGGATTTGATAATCCATTTGATACTCCCATTAGAGTTGCTCTTATTGTCTTAACTAACAGACTAACGGTAAATTGATGAAAATGACCAAAGTGTTAAACTATTGAAATATGAGGGACCAAATGTGTTTTTTGGAAACACGAGGAACCAAATGTGGAATATATGCAAACTTGAAGGGTGAGAAATGTAATACAATGAAATTAATATTTATTTAACTAACGAAATAGATAAATTAGTTATAAATTAATTTTTTTTTTTTTTATGTTTATTCCATGTGTATTTTACCTTTTCCCCCCTGGAATTCGGAAAGTTAAACGTATCTTTGATTTTCAGTAACATTTGTTAATATACAGTTGTTTATGACAACTAATTAATGATTAATGATTTATTAGTTGGTCTATTTTGTCGTTTAAAGAAAGAAGGTAAAATATTGGACCGAGCGGCGAGCAGTAATAAAAAATCTGTTCCGCAATAAACAAATTAGTTTCTCTCTCTACATCCACTCTTTCGACTTCCGATCCAGAGAGAGAAATTCATTGACCTGCCATTAACGGCGAATTCGAGAGCGATAATATATTTGTCGATAGTAATTTTTAGCAATATATATATATATATATATATTATACGTAAATCGGGGGAAGCAATCGGGAACCCTAGGGTTGGTGGATTGGACGGGAATTTTTTTTTCGGTGGGGAGGTAAAATTTTCCAATGCTGCGGTGTTCGCCGCTGGGAAGGAAATCAGCGTGGTTGAATAGCCGCGGTGGCGGATCTGATGGTGAAGAGCGCGTTGTTAATTTTGGAGAATCAGTTGGACACGTTTGTTTTGAATAGTTTTAGGATTGACAATCTCGTCTGCGGCGGCGGCGGCGGTGATGGTGCCGGTGCTGATTTATTGATTTGTAGGAGGGTAAAAGTTGGAAATAGGAGGATAGTGGTGGAGAGGCGAGGCGGCGGAGGAAGATGCAGCTGCATTTCTCACCTAGCATGAGAAGTATAACGATATCGTCGAGCAGCAATGGACTAAATGGCAATGGGGGCGGAGATTTGATGAAGATCAAGGTCGCACCCCGCCACATTTCGTACCGCACGCTGTTCCACACCATCCTGATTCTTGCGTTTTTGTTGCCGTTTGTGTTCATTCTCACCGCCCTTGTCACCCTTGAAGGTGTCAACAAGTGCTCTTCGATTGGTACTTTCCTACACTTTCCTATCATATTTATCGGATTGTTAGTTTTATGTAGTTTATGATTGATTTGGGGTCATTGGTTTTAAAAATTCATTTATTTTGAGTTTTGAGGTGTATAGGTTGATATGGATCTGAATTGTGATTTGTGCCGTTCATCACGAGTCTGGTGCTTATATCTAATTGTTTTATGGACCAAACATTCAGAGACAAATCAAGGAACAAGCACCTTCCGGTTACTGAAGCAGTGTTCCTAAGTTAGGTTTTACTATGAACGGCATTGCCTTAGTAATTAGTATCAGACTTGTCGATTCCAAAGGTTGAGATATTGGTTTTATCTAGGAATTAGATTGTTGGTTTTACTTGAACTAATAATGTCTGCGATCCGAGTGTAAATAGCTTCTTGTCCCCTGTATGTTAATTTCTCTCGTCTTTTTACTGCGATTTTCAAGTCGTAATTGTGTGACGGGATACCATTCCTTCAGATGGACGGTTTCCAAATTATAGAGATCTCAAATTTAGACGTGTCATGAGTTAAAAAAAAATAAAAATAAATATGTGCTGTTCAAACTCCTTTTGGCGATGCCTTTTCCTATTATGTCAAACTAGATTGTTAGTCATTGGTGATACCGAGAAATGCTAATGAAAAGTGACTGACTCGGTATAGACCTATGTGTGAGTGTTGTTTTATTAATTGTTATCCACTCCTGGCCGTGGCTTTTCTTTTGTATCATTTTCTCTGCTCTTTTCCTCTCTTCATCTAAATGTTAAGTTGTGTGGTCCATTTTTATCCGAGAGGTTATTAACTCAAATCTGCTTTTGTGCTGCTTTCAGATTGTTTAGGACGACGGTTGGGGCCAAAGCTTCTCGGTAGAAATACTGATTCTGGGGTAATATATGATGATTTTCTTATATTGTCTGATTATTGCACCAAAAAAGTACAAAGAAAACGAAAACTAGATAACTCTTTATACAAACAATCCATCCTAAGAAACAGGCTGAACATTGTTATTATTTTTGTTGTGACAGAGGGTGCTCAAGGACTTTGTTAAGATCCTGAATCAAGTGAACACTGAGAAAGTCCCTGATGGTTTGAAGCTCCCAGACTCTTTTAGTCAGCTTGTTTCTGAAATGAAAACCAACAAGTATAGTTCGAAGGAGTTTGCATTGATTTTGAAAGGAATGGTATGTGTTTTGTCCCTGACCCGTCTCTTCATTATTGTACATACATTGCTAACATGTTCCACTGGCCTTGTGTGTAGCACTACTTTGCCCCATTTTATGTTTACATTTTATTGGATCGTCCTAGAGCTTTATTTCACAAGTAACTTAGTTTGAAAATATAATTTTCACCTAACAGCTTATTAATTCCGAACCATGTAAAGCAATTAGCATGTATTACCTTGCTTAGATGGTTATCATCGTTATGTTCCCCGTAATACGTTTACATCAGTTTGGAAATTTCTAGACGAGCTTTATATTTTTTACAAGTAATTCTTTTAGTTTGATAATTGTTTTTTCCTAACAGATGGAGAGGTCTGAAAGGGAAATCAGGGAGTCCAAGTTCGCTGAGCTAATGAATAAACATTTTGCAGCCAGTGCTGTTCCCAAGGGCATTCACTGCCTTTCATTGAGGCTGACAGATGAATATTCTTCCAACGCTCATGCACGCAAGCAGTTACCTTCTCCAGAGTTGCTTCCTTTGCTTTCTGATAACTCTTACCATCACTTTGTAGTGTCAACAGACAATATTCTAGCTGCTGCTGTTGTAGTTGCTTCTGCTGTCCAGTCATCTGCAAACCCTGCAAAGATTGTTTTCCATGTCATAACTGACAAGAAAACTTATGCAGGCATGCACTCATGGTTTGCACTGAACCCTGTCCCTCCTGCTATAGTTGAAGTAAAAGGTGTACATCAATTTGATTGGTTAACAAGAGAGAATGTTCCAGTTCTTGAGGCTGTGGAGAAACACTTCGGAATTAGGAATTATTACCATGGAAATCACATTGCTGGAGCCAATCTTAGCGATACAACTCCGCGGACATTTGCCTCCAAATTACAGGCCCGAAGTCCGAAGTATATCTCATTGCTCAACCACCTTCGTATATATCTTCCAGAGGTAATCTTCTGCAGTTGAACATATTCATCTTCCATGTAATGCGACATTTTTTTAGCTCTGGATTACTTAACCATATCTTCCGGAAGTTGGAGATTAATACATTATCATTCACAATTCTAAAGGTATGCCGTCGGACAAAATGCAACATGTGTTCATATTCAGCTCCTGTTTGTTTGCTGTTATGTATCTGAATGTATTTGATACCAACAAACAAATCAGAACTGGAAAGCCCAAAATTAGCAGGGGTATAAAATTTGCCCCTACGATTGAAACCTGGACATGTTGATTCCTTCATCTGCTAAAGGAAATTTAGCGCTTACGTGATTTTACTTGTCAGATTGTCTGCCAAGACTTTAGTCAAGACCTTTTCTTGTTAAACTCGGGAACGAGTTCAATAGATTCACGATTTAAGACCTTGTCCAATAACTAGAATATGTTTTTAATGCTGCTTGAATGAGTAGGATTCTCCCTGTTATATGATGAATGCGATTTTGCTTTTCGGTCTAGTTGCTTTTATATGGTTGTTTTATAGCTGGGATGGATATAATTGATTGATTCTATCATTATTTGGTCTGATATTTTCTATTCTCGTTTTGATTTTGTATTATTCATATTCAAGGCTGAGGTACGTTTGTTATGTTTTGCAGCTATTCCCGAACCTTGACAAGGTGGTTTTCCTAGATGATGATGTTGTGATTCAACGAGATTTATCTCCTCTCTGGAAAATTGATCTCAATGGAAAAGTTAATGGAGCTGTTGAAACATGTAAAGGTGAAGACAAGTGGGTTATGTCTAAGAGATTTAGGAACTATTTCAACTTCTCACATCCACTCATAGCAAATAACTTGAATGCTGAAGATTGTGCATGGGCTTATGGGATGAATATCTTTGACTTAAGTGCATGGAGAAAGACGAATATTAGAGATGCTTATCACATCTGGCTTAAGGAGGTAAATCAAAATTTCCATCCAGTATCAAAAATTTATTGATTATCTATTTATTTTGTTTTGACCAGTATTTATTTATAAAATATGGTTTGCTTGAAGCAAGCAAAATTTCCGCGTCTTAATTTTAGTTGCAACAGTAGCAAAGATTTTATGTGGCTTTGAAACTTATTCTCGTTATCATGATCACATTGTGATATGATAGTATTATGATCTCAATTAAGTGAGACTAAATTTGCTTCCTGATTTACATGGTACACATGAGATGGATACTTGTTTCGTAATAGCTATTCTGAGATCCCCCAGTCTCGATTACTATAACATTGCTGCTGATAAGTAAGAAATCTATTTGATATTCAGAATATTGAGTCCTGAAAAGAAAGTTCTAGAACTTGTATCTGAATACTACAATTACTATTTATTAAATCTAGTGGGTGTATGATAAGATAGGAAATTGTTTACTGCAGTTTAGATGCGAATATATCTCATTTTATTCAGCATTATGTTTTGTTCTCACAGAGGTTGTGTTTTATTACAGAATCTGAAATCGAACCTCACCTTATGGAAACTCGGAACTCTCCCTCCAGCTTTGATTGCATTTAGGGGTCACGTTCACCCAATCGACCCCTCCTGGCACATGCTTGGGTTGGGCTATCAGAACAACACCAACATCGAAAATGTGAAAAAGGCAGCGGTGATTCACTACAACGGCCAGTCAAAACCATGGCTTGAGATCGGATTCGAGCATCTCCGCCCATTTTGGACAAAATACGTAAACTACTCTAGTGATTTTATAAGGAATTGCCACATCTTGCAGTAGTAACGAACCCAACACCACTCGTAATACACTAATGAGGTGACGGGACAAAAGAATGAAGCATTATAAATATTCTCGAAGCATCTTTTGCGGAGGTAATATTTTTTTTCGATTTCTGATTGAAGTGGGAAACTGAGGATACGAGAGGGATCTTAAAAACATGTGAAATCTGGATTCGATTTGCTGGAAGAAGAGTTCAGTCTGTAAAGTTTGATTTGTTTTTCGTATGTTTTTGGTTGGATGAAGGACATTAAATTTTTTGACCTCCATGATGGGATTGCACTGAAAACGCATACCGGGTTCGTTAAAGGCAGAGATAGAACGAGGCTCCCACTGTGGCCCCATTGGCTGTAGAGATGATTCTTTTCCGTTTATTTCGTTTTTTTCAATTTTAAATTCAGATTTTTGTTGCTGATTTCTCCCATTTATTTTCGATTTGGCTGATAAAATATTTTGATTGTGATTCTAGTGTCGGTAGATTTGGAGGTTGGTTACAAGGACATGGTTGAGTTAGGGGAAAACACACCATAGCTATAGGCTATGTGGTCAGGTATTTATTTATTTTGTATGATTCATGCGGAACATTCTAGATGGTGCAATTTATTCTTTCATCTTATCTACTATTTTGACGTCATATATATTTTTTTGTCCCCTCTTATTTGTTAATTAATTAATTTAGAATATTCTTTACTGTTAATAAGAAAATGGGAATGTGAATTTTTAGTTGGTTATCTTGATAAATGATTCTTGTTATGGTGTTTGTCCAGTTGGCAACAAGAAGGCCATTGACATGTGATATATTATCCTCAAAGTTTGGATTCCTGATTACTAGACTAATAATTGGCCGCCTTATCTTTGCCTTTCCTCAAGATTCTCTACTTTATTATTTAATCTGTGACCGGTAAACGAGCTGAGCCTACTCGAAACTCGAACTCGAGCTTTTTATGAGTTGAGCTCAAACTTTTTTTTAATTGTTTATGAACTCACGAGCCAGCTCGCGAGCCTTCCTTTTATTATAATATATAAATTTTATTATAATATAAATTGTTATAATAATAGTAATAATAATAATATAAAAGGAACGTATGAAAATTAGAAAAATATATACTTACATTGCATTATTTATTTTGTAATTTATTTTGTTATAATATAAATAATTTTTAATAATAAAAAAATAATATTAAAAAAAACTAAAATGAGAGCTAATTATGGGAAAAGGAGAATAGAAGGTGGAAAATGGAGTCAACTATCATACCCTCTCTCTCTCTCTCTCTCTCTCTCTCTCTCTCTCTCTCTCTCTCTCTCTCTCTCTCTCTCTCTCTCTATCTAGCATTTAATCAGCAAACAACCTTTATTTTATTTGGGCAGTGGTGTGTGCGTGTGCCAGTGTGTGTTGAGGAGTGTAGCTGGTAAGATTCTATTTTCATTTTTTAAATAATTAAATAAATAAAGGGCTTCTTCATATTAATTATGTTTCAGTGGAGTTTCAGTCTTATTCCCTGCTATAATATCATTGAAAGAGATTCTGTCTCAATTCATATCTCTCAGTCACACACAACAGAAGAACCAATATGAAAGAAAACCCTTTCACACAATTGAGTGCTGCATTCTTGATTTTGTAGTAAAACTACTCTTAACTTGGATTGGATATTTGATTGATCACTTTGCCGAAGAAACAAATCGAAAATCACCCCCCCCCTTCGTAAAACTATTCTTAACTTGGATGGGATATTTGATTGATCACTTTGCGGAAGAAACAAATGGAAAATCCCCCCCCCCCCCCCCTATTTTTTCTCGAAAAAAAAAGTCCGTTTCTTCAATAGTTTGAAGATGATGTCAGGATCACAAGATCAGCTCGAGATCAAGTTTAGGTTGACCGATGGATCGGATATCGGCCCGATAAATTATCCAGTTGCTACAAGTGTTGCTACTTTGAAGGAGAATATTATAGCTCAATGGCCTAAAGGTAAATTAGATCGAATATTTCGATTCCGTGTGTTGTCGTTTTAGATACATCTGGTAACATACATATTTGTTTTAAAACAGAGAAAGATAATTGTCCACTTACGGTTAAAGATATTAAGTTAATTAGCGCGGGAAGAATATTAGAGAATGCTAAAACCGTCGGAGAATGTAGGAGCCCGTTGTGTGATGTTCCAGGTGGTGTTACAACAATGCATGTTGTCGTTGTTCAGCAATTACAGGAGAAAGGTTCGATTTTTATCTTTTTTAGTAGTTGGACTCAATCGTTTTTTATTTTATTTTAATAATATTTTTTTAATCGAACAGAAAAGAAGTTGACGAGTGATGATCATAAGAAGAATCGATGTGTTTGTGTGATATTATGAGATGATTGCAGCCATTGATCGACACAATCAGTCAAGATTGAATACTCGCTTTTTTTTCTTTTTTTGTTTTATCCCCATTTTTGTGCAGATGAAGTTTCTGTGTCGGATATTGAATTATGAAGATAACAAAGACGATACTTACATGTATCGATGCTTGACCGAAACCTCGCAATTTATACCTCGTTTGGTTCTTGATTTGTAGATCAAGATTTGTTTTTCTCTATATATTGCTTGAATCTTGATTACAGCCCTTGTTATGGTGATTTTATCAACTTATATGATGACATATGATTATATATCTGATGTGTATTTCTTTGTGAGCGAGCCAATCGAAATCGAGATCGAGTTCTAGAAAAATCACAATTGGCTGAAAAAGAAGAATATATTCATCTTTGGATCATATTACATATTGCACCTAAAAAAAAACTCCGCATTTTTTCACAATCATCGTTTCCTCAAATTCTGCAGCATCAAAGCCCGAGTTTTGCCGTCGGGTTCAAGCCCGATCTCGCGCATTTTCGCGTACAATTTTCTTGCCAAATCAATCTTATTCCTCAAACACATACCTTGAATAGCTGCATTATACAGAGATCCATTTGGTGCAGACTACAAAACAATAACAAACATCACTATATTAATATACAAAACACAAAATCACGAAAGATCGTTTTTTTTTCTTTTTTTTGTCTTTTTTCCTCAAAAAAAAATGTACCTCTAGAATCTCCTCCACTTCATCCCAAAGCGAACCCCAAACACATCCTCTCACCAAAGAAAGCGAAGTGAAAATATCGGGAGACTTCTTTTCCCTAACCATATGTCCGTAAACTTCCAAAGCCATCTTCGGTTTTCTGGCAGCCTCACAAGCGCCAATAACAAGGTTGTAAGAAGTAACCGAAACACGAAAACCAGAAGCTTCCATTCGCCACATCAGCTGCATCGCCCTCTCCCACAATCCAAGCCTACGACAAGACATCAAACACGTGTTGTACACATGCACATTCAGCACAGAAGCATATTCCTTTTTGATGCCGTCGAATAGCAAAAGTGCATCCGCGGGCCTATTAGCCCGGTTCAATGCACCAAGAAGCGCGTTCCATGTGAACGCATCGGGCGAGTAACCCAACGAGCTCATCAGATTATAAACCTTAAACGCCAGCTCGACTTTAGCTGCTTTTCCGAGCGAGTTAATCAAAGCATTACAAGAAATTAAACTCGGCTTAATCTCACTCTTGAGCATACTTTGAAACACGTTTAGTGCCAAATCCCACTTCCCCTCTTTCGAGCATGCTCCGATAATAGCTTGCATTGCATCGTCACACGGGCTTAGCCCGTTTTGAACCATCTCGTGATACGCATCGAGAGCTAGTTCGTTTTGTCCACACCGCACAAATACGCAAATCAACAGACGGTAAGTGACAGCTGTCCCTACTAGGCCGTTGTCTTTCAAACTCGTCCATATTTTCAGAGGCGGGCCCCACTTGTTCGTCTTCGCGAATATTGCTATCATGGTGTTGTAGACGATTGCGTCCATGTGTTTCTTGTTTCTGACGTCGCTTTCGGATTCCTCAAAGATTCTCAATGCTGCATCGCAGCTCCGAAAACTGGCAACTGCTTTTAGAATTAAGGTGTACGTGTGCCCCGTGGCGATTTCTTTCGATTTCATGAATTCAAATACTTCCAAGGCATCTTCGATCCTCCGATTCCTTAAGAGGCACGAGAGCAGCGAATTACAAGCGTGTGCATTCGGTAGCAAATCGGAGAATTCCATTGATCTGTATAATGACAACGCGCTTCTAACTTTGTTCGATCTGCTGAGATTCAAAAGCCTGTTTGATAGTATCTCCTCGTCCCTTTCCTCCAAGTAATACATCTCATTCGAAGACTCGTCAAAGGTATTCTTCGAAGATACCTTCGGACGACTAATGAAATGATTTCGATCTTCCGAATCTTGGTTGGATAAATTACCCCAAGGTGGCGATATCTGCTGAGTGTGGTTTTCGCTAAAAGCTTCGTTTTCTTCGAAAAACGGTGTTCCTTCTTCACAAGCTGAATCAAACTCAAGACTTGCAACGCTACTAAGCTTTACACTTGAATCTTTTCGTTGCTCTACTGATTTACATAACAAAGAAGTTTGATTCTTGGCACAATTCATCTTTGTTCTTAATCCCCAATTGAAATACGCAGAAGTGATGAACTGAAAATCGCCTCTCAAATTATGCCTTGTTGAACAACAATCATACATGTTGAGCACCTCCGCCGCCATTACCATGTATATATATATACAGACAATCGTATTTGTATATACCAAAACTTGTAATCAAAATCCAAATTAGTTTTTTTTTAGCTCAACAAATTCTTCACTTTTGAGGAAGAAAGACTTGAATTATTGAATTCCGAAGAAAAATTCAGATTCCACTCTGGTATGAAAGATTTAAACATCTAAGAAAGATTGAAACTTTACCTGAAAAAATCATTCGGCATGAATGGGAAGCGTTTATCTGAAGAGTGGTGGAGTGAGAGGAAAATATAATCTTAAAACATGCCGAGCAATACGACGTCGTTTCAGGGTTTAATATCGTCTGAAAAACAGAAGAACAAAAAAAGGGAAAAATAAAAAAGCGAAACCCTCAAAATCGCCCAAAACCTAAAACCCCCGATACACGAAATCGAAATGGGTAAATCAATCTCTCAACATCGATAATTTAGTTTCTAATTGTGTTATTTACAGTGTGTTACCTGTTATTAATGGCGGATTTTTTGTTGATTGCAGATGATGAAGTAGAGAAAGAGGGAAAGAGAAAAAAGGCGACGATGGAGGGTGTTGCGTCACTAGCACTTTTGCCCAACGGCTCTATTTCCGGCCACTTTATTCATCTTCCCCACTCCATTTGCTATGGCCTCCATGGAACTGGTACTATTTTTTTATTTTTTTAAATTTCATTTTTCTGCTCTTTGATTTTGAATTTATTTATTTATTATTCGAGTTTTCTCAGTGTTGAAATTTTGCATTTTCTTTTTCGTATTTTTACGGGGAACAGAGCTCGAGTGTGAGAGGGAGTGCAGCCATGGCGAAGACTACCGGTTGATCAAGCTCAGTATAACAGATTATAACGTTAGTTAGTTTCGTCTTTCTGTTTACTTCCGCCTTCCGCTGCTTTCGTAAACACGCATTTCTTGTTGTTTTTTGTCCTCGTTTGAAATAAACGGAACTTGATTGACGTATGAATTGTGATTAAACTCAGAGTAAGAAAGAAAGAAACGTTGTGGTCGAGTGCAGAGGGCACGATGCTGCCAAGATATGTAACACTGATCATGCCCACGGGTGAGTAATTTACGGAACGTATTGTCTATATATATATATATGTGTGTGTGTGTGTGTGTGTGTGTGTGTGTGTGTATTCAAGGGGTTTTGATTTGGTAACAAGGTGGCAAAAGGATGTAGTCGGTATGGTTGAAGAGAAGAAGCATGAGAAATGCAAGGTTTCGGTTACGTTCGAATGTGAAACGTTGAAATCTGATAAAGCAGCCGAGGACCATCTCAGCAAATTCATGCCCAAGTTAGTCGGCATGGATGCTGTCGGTAAATTACTAAATTTACGACCACTTCTGTTTTCTTAGGAGTTCGTTTTCTTGAAAATATAGTAAAAAAAAGTGTAATTAACTTGTTTTTTTATTCGAAATGTAGCTTGGTGTCAAAAAATGTTCTTGATTCATTTTATGTAATTCTTAACACGGAAAAATTCGTTTGCAGTTAATATTGGCCCCATGACTATCACTGGGTTGGATTTTGATGCAGAAACCGAACACGAGTGCACCGAGCAGAACGATTGACAGCAAAAACCCGATTTCTGGTTTCTGTTTGAATGTTACATGTATGTATACATATGATCATTTATTCATTTATGATTATTACGAGACGTATAATCGATAGTACTTTTTGAACGACATGTATTGGGTTTTTCATAGATGTCATGAACAAAAAATTACAACTCACTCTGATGCTTCATCTGCATCAGTATCGGAGAAGGGCAAAAGCGTACAAACACCCATCACATGCCCGTTAAGACACACGTAACACTCGATACAATCTTCGTAAGCACCGAGCCTCCAGCTGGCGCTGGGAGGCACCATCTTCGCCGCCACCATATCCCACATCTTCACCTTACAGTAGGGACAAACCTCCGTCGGATGGAGCGGGGCCCGCTTACCGATCAGCATTTTCTTGACCCTCGTATTCGCGAAAGACTTAAATACCCCCCGAAAGAATCCAATTTCCTCTTCGCCCCCTTGGTCAAGATGGTCGCAAGAATCGGACACATATAATACATCGTTTCTGCACTGCGGTAATAAAAAGCTCTTCCCCGATGTTCTAGAAAAACGGGGGCGAGGTACAAAGTGACTAGGTATGGTTTGAATATCGTTGAATAGTAATCCATCTTCGTTATTACAATTATTACCGGAACAACAAATGAGGAGTTTGCCGAGTGCTCTCCAATTGCCGTCCATGATGTGGGTCCCACTCGAGTGTAAATCGAGGATCATTTTCGGAGCCCGTTTCGTGCAGAACTCTTTCCACAGGACCCGTTTCGCGAGATCTTCGAACCATTTGCACGTGCGAGAAAGATTTACGATCGATTTAGGGTTCCAGTTTAAATGATTGAAAACTAAGAATATCACTTCTTCTGTGATGTGGCCTTTTGTGCAAAGACAGGTCGATGAGTGCACGCAGCGGTGTTGCTTTGTCGGAACCATTACGGTACTTTTCACCTGGTAATGGAATTATAAATCATGATCAAACTCTTAGTACAGATTTACTTGGAGAAAAAAAAAAAAAAATAAAAAAAAAAAAAAAAGATCAACATAACATAAAACAATGATAACCGGTGAGTTGATAAACCGAAACCGAAATCGAAACCGAACCTTTGAGGAAGAAGTAGAGATATATGAGATTGTTCTAACAAGAAAAGAGAAACAAGAATATAAGGATTAGGCATGTAATATAAAAGGCCAAAACTTTGAAGCAGACAAAACTGTGAAGTCACCTATATGGTGATAACGTGCAAGAAATACCGAATACCCTTTTTTTTCTTTATTTATTAGGGTAACCTACCGCTGCAACCCTGAGGTAAGGTCAAATTACGAAAATCTCTATCATGTTTGGGTAATTACAATGAACCCCCTAAACTATGAATCTTCTTACACATCCACCCTTATGGTATTAATTTCAACATAATCTTCTACATTCAGTGGAATGTTGTCTAGTTTGTATATGTTTTGGGCAAGAAATGTAGTTTCTGATGCACCACAATCTGATATTTACAAGTCAAGAGACACATTTTACGATCATCTTGTTTCAATAAATGGAGGTCGAATGTGATAAAACGGGTACAAATAGGAGAATATTCCACATAGCCTAGAAGATTCCACTAAATCTGACACCGCAAGGGTGGACGGGTAAAAAGATTCATAATTGTAGGGTGGTTGTAATTACCCAAACATAAGGGGGTTTTTCGTAATTTGACCTTACCTCAGGGTAACCGTAATTTACCCTTATTTATAATTTTTTTTTTATCAGAGACAATTCTTGACTTGTTCCTGAGATATTTTGCTCAGTGATGTTGCAAAAAGCCAAATATGCGAGTCAGGAAAGTGGTTTTTTCTGGAAATTGCTCATCTATGACGATATATTAATATGCATGTATCTATCTATATACATGCATACACATATTAATAGTGTTTGTGTTGTATATGCATGTATCTATATACATACACACACATATTAATAGTGTTTGTGTTGCAGGTGATCAGAGCTCTTCCTTTAAGAATTTATCATTTTAATCTATAAACATAAACTATTTACAAACTTAATACAGAGAGTGATTTATTATTTAGAAACTTCCTGCATTTTCTGTTAATTACAGGGGAAAATAAACAATCATCTATAATGTAATTTCAAGGCTAGCTGAAATACAAACATATATATATGTATATATATATATATATATATATATATATATATATATATATATATATATATATATATATATATATATATGATATAACTCGATGAAGTTCACCGATTGCATCGTACGAACACAAACCGTGCTAACACATCTCAACAATTTCAAAGAAACCGCTCTCTGTTTATTTACAAGATTTCCATATCCATCACAAACACACACTACAACAAGCATCCATGAACCTTAAACTTGTCTTGCAAAAGACATCTTCAAACCAGACAAAGCAACTAGAAAACCAACACGAAGAAAAAAAAAAAATCTGTTACTGTGTTAAAAACCGAAACAAGCATATCCGGAAATTCACAAAGTCAAACTCAGCAACTCAAGGAAGGCCAACTACATATAGTTTTCCCTTCTCCCTCTTCCCCTCGGTCTAAAAAATCCTAAGAAAGAAGAAAGAACAAGCATAACCTACTATCCAACATGACCGCCATTGGCCGCTGAAGAAATCTACATGGCGCATATTTGGCAGTATTAGGAACTTGCAAATATCACTCCTTTATAACCCCCACACGTATTATTCACCTAAAAAAGTTGCTCTAAATTGACAGGAAAAAAGAAAAGATAACGAGAAATTTTTCACCGCTCAACCGATAGCCTGCATAGAAGGTTTCGTCTCTTGTAGGGAAATCACAGTTTCAAAAGCTCCCACAAGGGCTCTAACCTTACTTATCCTACTCTCGACAAGCTTACTCGCAGTTTCTTCGATAACATTATTGAATAAACCTTGACCGTCTTTCTTGCCCTGCACATCTTGATGCTTTAAGACGACCTTTTCAGACGAAAGTTCTGCACCAGATGCAGCATCGCTGAGTCCAGCCTTTTTCAAGATTCTCCTCCTCAAAGCACCCTTGCCTTCTTCTGCCCCAACGATTCTTGCCCTTCTAAATCTGAGTTTTCTAGGGCCGCTATTGTCCGACTGAAGGTCGACTACTTTCCCACTTCTGAACTTCAACTTCACAGGAGAGCTGTATTTTTCTTCAGAAACAACCACCCCCCTAGTCTTTTTCAGAGATTTCTTTTGAAGATTCTCTTTTACAGGTGGTAGTTTGCCGATCTCCAGCGACTCGTTGCTGTCAGAGATTAATCCATCTCCACTGTACTCGATCTCTCCATTTTCTTCTTCTTCGTAAGACGACAATGATGAAGTCTTTCCGTGAGACAGTGATTTGGCAGATGATGTAGATGGAAGTGACGAATTGGCATGATCATTGAGTTTGGACTGCAGGACACTGTTCTTAGTTTCTATCTTGATGACATGCAAGGTTTTCTCGGGAATCTTCTGATTTGTGGATGTCTTGGTCTTGATCCTGCGTATCCTAGTTTGAGCCGTCAATGGCAACACCAATTTCGGGTTTCTGGTTCTTCCTGTAATATTGTATGCTGTCTTGATGACAGGAACTTTACGGGACAAAATAGCAGTAGTAGGTTCCGGTACTTTCTTTGCAGATTTGATTGATGCTCTCGTATTTTGGCCCGTTTCCTCATTACTATTTCTTTTCCCTTTCCCACGTGTGTCATTTGAATAGTCGGATGAAGATGATGGTTTAAGCTTAACAGGCTTCATAGCAGTGGGATGCTGTTTGGGCATATAAGTTGTCTTTTTCTCAGCTCTTGAGACTTTATTATCTGTGGAAGAAGAACCTTGTTTTACTCGACCTTCGATCTTTTTAGATGGAAAGGATACACTTTTGACAAGTTCAGGGGGATCTGGTGAAGCAAGATTCTGAGTTGGCAAAATGGTCTTACTATTATTAACAGGTGAAATTTTCTGTGGGGAAAAAGTTTTGGCAACGGGAGAAATTTTGGGTTTTCGCATATAGGATTTAGTAATAGGAGAAGGCAGGTGAGGTGAATGGTTTTTGGTATCAGTTGAAGTCTTGTCGTTCTTCACTGTCTTTTCCTTATCCAATGATGTCTTGGGTTTTCGAGAATAGGATTTCGTACCAGGAGAAGAAACGTCAGGTGAACGAATTTTCTTGGATTTAGTACCAGGAGACGGAAGGACAGGTGAACGAATTTTGGTATCTATTACAGGCTGGTTCCTCACTGTTTTTTCCTTGTCCAAGGATGTCTTGGGGTCTCGAGAATAGGATTTGGTGTCAGGTAAATGGTTTTTGGTCTCCGTCTCGGAATTTTCATAGACAACCTTTTCCTTCTTTTTGTCACCAGAAACCGTAATCTCCACAGTATACATCTCACTGGACAAAGATTTTGCAATTCTTCTTCGTAGGGGCTTCTTTGCCTTTTCAAACGAATGTTTTCCTCCGTATTTACACAAATCATGGCAAGAACCAGTGGAAGCTCTGAGATAATGAGGAACCACGTTCCGACCGCTGTTGACGGAATCTGATTTGTCGCTTGAATTTCTCGTTGAACTGTCTCCAGCATGATGGGAACCAATGGATGCTATGTTAGAGCGGACATGCGCATTGTGTCCACTAATCGGAGATTCCGAATTTGCAGCAGAATTTTTGCTTATTATGTCCTTGCTTTCCAATTCAGTTTTTTCCGGAGTTAACAGTGAATCGATAATTTCTTCGGCCATGGAAAACGTAGAATCCTACAAACAGAAGATGCATACGAATAAGGAGATGTGATTGCACTACATAAACCCAATATATGCTAGATGATCATTAATAATACTTTGTTCCTGGTCTGTACACAAAAGCATCCATGAAAAAAACAAAAAGAGATCTTGATCTGGTTATTGTTAATAATCTCTATCGAATGTAGATAAATTCCCAACAAAATGGGAAAAAACGAAAGCTTTCCGAATTTACCTACACTCAACCTAAATAACATTTCCCATCATAAAGCAGTCAATCACAAACACAAGCACTTTACGACCTCTTCGAATCCAATCGGCGGAAAAACGAAAACATAGAAACAAAATTTCCAAAACATAATCGGAATCATAACCAAATTAATTAAGCGTTACAGGAAAAGCCAATTACCAATTTGAAAATCTCCCAGAAGACTTTGCAAAAAAAAACAAATTATAAATCAATCAAACACCAATCACAGGATCAACACAACAAAAATCAAAAATCAGAACGGAATCTCTGTTCCTCTAAATGAAGGAGAATGCTGCATCAACAGACAAACAATTAACAAAACAGATGATCCACAATTCATAGACACAGAAAAGCCGGTTATTGAATGCTGCATTTAATTGAGGGGGCATTAAAGAAACCCTAGAATAAAACCGCGTACCTTTTCGTTTTTCCCTCTTTTTTTTTTTTTTTTAATGTCGACCTTTTCTTCTTTACTGCTTTACCGCAAAGCAAACGAAAAGCCCTAAGGGAAGAAATGATGAAATAATTCAAAAGGAACAGAGGATTAGTATATAATCAATTAATTTATTCAGCCATTTTTTATATGATGATTTTGAGATATGATCTCGAGATCGTGCAAGCAACGCATGTGAGATTTGGGTGGGTTCTAGGGAGGTGAAGATGAGTCCCCTTTGTATTACTTTCCGCGTTTTTGTTTGTTATACACACAATCTCTGTTTCCTAGAGAGAGAAACAAGAGAGAGAGAGAGATAGAGGGTTTATTGTGCGTGTGAGAGAGAGAAAGGAGGAGAGAGAGAGAGAGAGAGAGCACCGGCGGGAGGTGGGAATAAGCTTTTAGAAGGTCGGCGCCATTTCTTCTTGTTCCGCGTGAAGGTGATACATTGTAATTATGTGGAGTTATATAATAAAAATGTTACTCAAATATATTTCACCTATAGTAATAATTAGTCTAATAAAATCATATTCATAATTCATTTGACAATTAAAAAAAATAATTGAGATAGTCAAAAATGAAATCCTATAGTAATAATTAGTGCAATTTCAATTGAAAAGGGGTGTCAAGATTATACACTTTTTTATTGTATAGTCAAATATATCATGTATTTTGCTTACTATTATTTCACCTAAACAAATCCAATTTAACCCCCAAAACAAAATTCCAGTCACTTGTCCGCGGCGTGCACTCACGCGCCACCTGGTGCGATTAGAAGATGCTATAAAAAATCAGAGTAGTTGCACCACCCCAACAAAGGTTGAGCTTTGACAGTTTATTCAATTTTGTTGGGGTTGTTTTTGAAATATTTTATCAGCAGTTGGGCTCATCTAACTATAAATAAACATTTTTTTTCATGGCAAATTACTATCTCCTCCTTTAAGTAAGGTTAAATTACGAAAAAAAAAAAAAAAAACATCTTATTTGAGTAAATTACAACAATCCCCCACAATTATATATTTTCTACATGTCCACTCTTACGGTATCAATTTTACCTACTGAATGAAGGTTTTCTTGTAAGACAATACATAGTTAATGGGTGATTACAATTACCCAAACAAGATGGGAGTTTTCGTAATTTAATCGTACCTCAAAGGGTGTGACCGTAATTGACTTGCATTGCTTTTAATTTGATAAATAATTTGTGTGTTATTTTATAGAAATATTTAAAAGGGAAGGAGGGGGCATAGGATTCTATTCCTTTCACTACTTTTTGCACCCCCTAAATCAAAGTCCCCATGCTTCATATTTAGCATGTTATTTCCCACAAGTCAAGTCATCATTTCATATGATAACAAAATAACTATGGCTCTTCTCTCTCTCTCTCTCTCTCTCTCTCTCTCTCTCTCTCACACACACACACACACACACACACAGAGACATATTTTAGTTGGACCAGTTGGTAGATGAGATTGTCAATCTACCATAACCCTCCACCAAAAAACAAAGATTTAATTATCCACAATTTGCCATAATTGAAGCTCAATAGACAACTTGCTATTACCCTACTTTGCTTCCACTACCCTTAAAGCAAAGTTATCGAATATTCGGTTGATCTAACCGAACGAGGAAGACAAAGATAATGTCGAAAGATTCTACATCAATACATTTTCATGTAATTGCACAGTCAAATTGATAATCAAACTATTCGGTTTAATGATTATACGGTATTAATTTATTCAAAAAATATATATATATAGACTAGACGTATCTACAAAATTTACCGGAAAAAAAAAAGGGCCGTACTTGATGAATTGCAGTTTATAATCATTTGTTGCGACCCGAGACGGTCTTCTTCACAGCTCCAACCGAGACCAAGAACTGATCGAGAGACGATAGTGTCTTCATATCGTCTGGTGGGAAATAGCTGGCGGCTTTTCCAAGAAGGGAAGTGAATAGAAACGACAGCGAAGGGCGTGTAATATAGCGCTCTTCTAGAAGATCATCAAGAAACGCAAACGATGCTAGAAAATCGGATCTGCTTGCGTTGATCGGTGCAGCAAAATGTGCAGGGATTATTCTCTTGAATTTCCAATCCCGCGCAATTCGATCTATCCAATCTTTCACCTGAATTTTTTTTCCAACGAAAAATTAAAAGATGAGCATCATTGTATCGAAATTCGAACAATGGACAATAATACGAATGAATTCATGACACAGAAAGAACTGTGTAAATATCAATGCAAAGCACTAGTAGTTTCACATGTTATGAAAACAGAGGTGTAGATTTATTACAGCATATTTTAATTTCGTACGAGGTTGTCAGAACTTGCCTTTTCAGGTACTTTGCTGAAGACAAGAGTCTTAACAATGGGCGAGACAATAAGCTTCTGCGACATCTGAGAAAAGCTAGCGTTCGGCTCCAACAGATTTGAGGGGCCAAGAAACAAGATTTGGAGGACCATTCTTTCCCATCCTGTATTATCGGAAAGTGAAATATGTCAGCATTTTAAGACAAGACACTTTCAGGAACATAGTATGTATTTACCCTTTTGTCTGTTCATTTTGTTGTCGACAACTGGTTCGTCGGATACTTCCCTTCCTTTACTAAGAATTCTGACAGCCAAACCATTCTTTGCAGATGCCAACAAAGACTCGTTGCTAATGCATTCGGGCGGCTGCATCGGAACGTAAATGACAGCATCTGTCACAAGCAGCGTCCTTGTACGTTTATGATAAAACGCCACCTCAACGTATGGTCCAATTCCTTAAAAAAAAAAAAGAGAGATAATATATTATTAAATAGAGTAACTAAAACTCGAGTTAGTGAATGTGATAACTGATAAGTGCAGTACCAACTTCGGGAGAGCTCAAGACTTTCTGTTCGATTTCGTCCGCAAATGGGGTCGACAAGTCTTCGTCTTGCAATGTTTTGGAGCGGAAAATACCGAAAAATTCGAGGGGCAAATTTAGGGGCCAACTCCACTGACGCGGCGCCACCCATACTTGAGCTTGAGGAAACTTTCTCGAAAATGGGCCGACGAATATTTTGTGTTCGTACGCAAATGTAGGCAGGATTATATATTCCACCGGAGCATCTAATTCTTTCACAAGCTGCAAAACAAGAACCATTATTACTTATTTGTAAATAACACCATTGAAAGATTGTTATATTATATATACATATAATCGAAAGAAAATCGACATTGACACGAGTACCTGGATGCACTCTTTGGTTGGAGCGATAGGGGCGTGGACCCACAATCCGCCCGATTTCAGTTTGATAACCGTCATTCGTATGTTTGTGGAAACGCTACTGAAACCGAGTGCTTGTTCTTGTTCGAATAACCATATGCTATCTTTCACAGCCTGAAATTCTAACAGATCAAACAGTTGGAAGTTTGAACTGGCCCATAAATTAATTAATTAATAATTACATCTTTCATTTTTACGAACTGGGCCAAAAATTCAAGGGAAAATCAAAAGAATTGAGATATTCATATTTTGCACAGAATTAACCAGCAACTAATTTTGTAATTAAACCAGGCAACGGACTAACCTCGTATCTTTGGGTGCGGCGGTTGAGAAAGGGGCCGAGGGGGAAGGGGAATCCGGTAAAGTTGAAGTAGAACCTTCCTCCGCCGCTAGCCTCGCCGTTGGCGGCGGCGGTGACCACCAAACGGACATCGTTTCTATCTCTGCTTCTTCTGATGGGTTTCACTTGGAAGCAAAGACCCTTCAACTGCACCGCCGCGCTAAGGAAGCTGGAATTGAATTCCGGCGAACGGAACGGAGAACATTTTGGTGAAGAAGCAGCAATGGCCGCCGCCATTTTCTCCTCCGACCAAAAATTAATCGAACAAAAAGCTCAGTCGACCCACCGGATAATATGAAATAATAGTGTGGATTTAGGACTGGACACGTGGACGAACTAACTTCGATCTATCCTAGTTGGAATTTTCTGCGGACCACAGTAATATCCAGTGAAAGTAATTATTTTTCTCCAACTTATCGAATTAATATTCAAATTACGAAAATCGCCCTCTCGTTTGGATAATTACATCTACCCCATTTAACTATGAATCTTCTTACATCTCCACCCTTATGGTGTTAAATTCAACATAATCATCTAAATTACGTGGAATGTGCTCTAGTTTATACTTACAAGTCAAAAAACACATCTTATGATCGTTTTGCTTCAAAATGTAGAGCTCGAATGGGATACAACGGTTACAAAAGTGATAATATTCCATATAATCAAAAAGATTCCACTAAATTTGAAACTGCAAGGGTGGACGTGTGTAAGAAGATTTATACTTGAGGGATGGTTGTAATTACCCAAACAGGAGGGAAGTTTTCGTAACGCAACCATACCTCAGGGGTGGTTGGTGGTTGTATTTTACCCTAATATTTGTTAAAATGGAGTTTTTGCTCATAAAATTTATAATTTTATAATATAATTGAAAAAAGTAATATAAATATTAGGCTCCCGTTCCGGTTCAACAATTTTATGAACCTGAACCGAACCTTACTACCCGGCTCCAGTTCCGGTTTGGGTTAACCCGATTCCAGTTCCGGTTAACAAAAACCGTGGTCAGGTCTACCTAAAACGAAAGGAAATTCTTCAACTTAAAAATAATACATCATTCAAGAGTCTTAATTGATAAAATAAAAACATAATCAAATCACTACAAAAGAACATTCATTCATGTTCTTGGCCTAAACTACAGTTATTAACAGCCAAATACAAAGATTTAACATTTAACTTACATGTTTCAAAATCCTGAAACTGTAGAATTTCACACAGCTGCTGAGGTCAGCAAAAATGTGGGGGTTTCGACAAAGCACCAAGTATTACGCGACGATCTCCCTTACGAGCCAATCCAAGCTCGGATAAGCAAAGCACAGAATCGATAATGAAGGGAGAGCAAACGCAACCGTAATGAACAAGTACAGTGCCAAAATTGCTGCGCTGGCAGGTACCACGTACAAAACGATGAGCAGGAAAATAATCACAAGTGGGAACTTCGAAGTCAAATGAACGAAGAAAACGAGCGACTTCTTGATCGAAGAATGCAGCCTTTCGAACTGACTGCCATTATTAACCGACACCGATGATTCAAAATCATTACCGTAATTATTCCCACTCCTACGGTTAATACTACTCCCCGTAAAGCTTCCCGCTTTTATCGTGCTCGGTGGACAAACGGCTTGGTGGTCCCCACAGGCGGAGGAACGGGATTTCACTCTATCTCCGTTCATGCTCTCGAGCATCCAAAGGAGGAAGAAGTTTTTGCGTGGGAATCTTAGATTCCCGTAATACACCAACCGGAGTGATAAGAGATTGCACCACGGGCAGGATATAAATAGTGGGAGCTGGAGGGGTAAAGTTGGAAATTTCAAGGCGGCCCATTGTAGTCCTATGATGCAGTTTTTGCATAGGGTGTGCCCACACCATAAAACGTACGGTATATTTTCAACGAGGTTGAATGATTCGCAGCATATTGGACATTCCATACCGTCGTCTCTGCTCGTGAGTGAAGAAGCCTCGTCATCCGAGCAATCGGCTGAATCTTGTCTTGGCTTCGATGTATTGTTTTTCAAGGCCATGTTTCCAGCTATACAGCTTGATGCGAATTTCCACATCTTTGCAAACTACCTAGGATCAATCACAGCATGTGATCTTCAAATCTGTTATGTGGCAGAGAGACTCCCTTCGGTTCGTAAGAGGTGAAAACAACGGATAATGTTAGATAAGGCGGAATTAAAAATTCAGTCGACAAAGTTTTTGGCGGGTTCAAAGGAATTTAACATATTTCTTCAAACATGATTCTGTAAAGCAGTAAACTTCAGGATAAAAAATACGAAGGTGAATCCATTACTTGTCCATTGCCATAAAAATAACTATGTAATGCTTGAGACTAATTCCATTAGAGAAAATAGAGTAATCGGTTGAAAGAAATGCCAACATATTACAACCCAGCTTCTCACAATAAATATGGTATTTTTAGTTTTACAATTCTTTGGAAACCGACGCCAATGAAGAACAATCATAAGAGAATTTGGAGCACGAAAGTCGAGAATTGTATTCATATCATCTTTTAGATGACGATAATAATTCCCACTGTATGATTCATAATGACGGTAACTTTTCTTTTAAAAAAAATCCATACCCAAGAACAACTATCTACTTAACATGTAAACATCTTCGGAGCAGCTATATGTAGATTGGAATTCGGAAGAATCAAACGACCTAAGTTTATCTGAGAATAGCATGCATAACTATAACACACAAACCGAAGTTGATATACGGATTTTGCATTTTCTATTCATTTCACTCCACAAGATCGAATTTTATACAAAATGATAAAATCGAATACCAACCCTCAAACGAGATTTAGTCGAATGATGTGCATTTATTTATCTACCTTTGCTAGAAAAATCTTCAGCAGATCCCCTTCGAGTAATTTCCTATCATCGAAAACCTAACTTTTTTCAATTATCAAACCCATAATTAAATGAATCATCATTAATCATCCATTAGCATTACATTCATAGTCAATCAAAAAAAAAAAAAAAACTGCACAATTCAGATTAGCATATTTCAATGATTAAACTTACATTTGCTAATCAAAAATCTATAAACACTGTTATTGCTTCTGTAGCTGAAATTATGAAAACTAATTGCATAATTTATAAACAATGAACCCAAATCTTAAGGATTCTAAATCAATCAACAAAACAAATCCGAAATTAAGAAATTCCGAAACATCGAGAATATGAAATAATGAATCTGAAAAACAGTTCGAACGAAGACGGAGCAATTACCGATTGATCGGAGGAAGCAGGATAGATGTGCTTCTCACTGTATGTTACAGAAAAAGACAAAATAGAGTAATCGAATACCCCACAAACTCTCTCTCTCTCTCTCTCTCTCTCTCTCTCTCTCTCTCTCTCTTCTCTCTCTCTCTCTCTCTCTCTCTCTCTCACACACACAGTACGTGTTTTGGAGCTCCGATGTGACTTGTGAGTTGTGAGGCTGAGTTTCAAAACCCAATCACGCCGGCTGCATTTTCCCTTTTTCCCTTTTTCTTTTTTTATTTTTATTTTTATTTTTATTTTTCAATTTTTTTACTCTTTTTACTTTTTTTGTGGGCCCCTTTGTCTTATTTGAGATTTGAAAACTTGGAACGAACGGCCCAACTGTTAAAAAGTGTCGGGCCTAAATTTGTAAACCGGCTTAGAGATTGTTTTGCTAAGCTTTAAAAAAAAAAATTATAAAATGTTTAATAGCTTATAAGCTCTTTCACAGTGCGTGATATTTTTTTTATAAAAAACTCGTACAAATTCAAAAAGTTCAGAATTTTTTTTTTACAAATTTGAAAATACATATTCCACTTTTTTGGTTAAGATTTTATAATGAGTAAAAGTAGCTTATAAAATCATTATTCAAACACTTTAATAATTAATTATAAAACTAAAATATAAAGAGCTTATCAATTCTTAAAATTGCTTGTCCAATATAAGAGTTTATCGGCTATTTAAAATTAATTAGTTTAGCCAAACGAGCCCTCGGACCCAAACACGAAATTAATTCTGAAAAAAATCAATTTGTATTATACATTGTACAATCTGAAATGATTTACGCGGCAGCAAAATTACGAATGTCGTTCACAATAGTCTTCTTTTTCTCTCTCTAAAAATCCTCGAATCCACCCAAACCCCAAAAACCCCCAAAAGCCCCAAAATTCAGAAAAACCCTCAACTTCTCTCACAAATCCTCCCAAATCCGAAAATCTCGTCAATCTAAGAGGTGATTAATCATCTAAAGTAGTTACATATATTGAATTAGTAGTTAATCATGTGAAAATCCCCGGAAAATTACAATTTGGGGCTGCTTTTAGTATTGGGTTTTCGAATTTTCCACGCCCAAAATGTGTGTGGGAAAGCAGTTTTCACGCCTAAACCAGCGTGGAAACTGCTTTATCACGCCCATTTTGGGCGTGGAAAATTATTATATGTAAATACGTCTCTATTAACAAAATTGCCGTAGCCTAGTTGGTCAAGCGTTTCTTTTATTTCACCATAGACCCGTGCTCGAGATGGTAGCAATGCCTTTTTATTATTTTTTTGCCTGGTATAATGAAATAAGTAATTACAGTTAAAATAAGAACTTGTTATCAAATTGGTTGTAGCCTAAATAGTTAGGCAAGTTGGTTCGTCCACATTAATACCCATGCTCGAGTCCTTGTAGTGGCACATTTATATTATTCTTTTTTATTAAAACATAGACAGCATGCGCGCCCAAGAACAAAAACGAACAAATTTTACTTTATTGGGATCCGTATCTTGCAAATCGCTACAATAACATGAGTTATGGAACGATTTATAATAAAAAAACTATTAAAAATAAAATTGTAGAAAGAGAAAGATAAGTAGAGAGTGAATTTTTTAAACCTTTCGTAATTCGTAATTTTGTTACCGCAAACATCACCTCCCTTGTACAATATATCCATATTCCATGGTAAACGATGACCATTTTTTTTCTGGTCACGTGGTAGGGAAAATTATTTCTTGTCTTCATAAAGAAAATCCATAAATAAATAATTAATTAATTAATTATGACAAATTATTTGAAATAGAAAATCTTCTATATTCGGTGTTCTTATATATATAGTAAATTATTAATTAATTAAAAAGAAAATGGACTTGACATCAGAGTTGTACTTTAGTTGGACTTGCACATGCATTCTGACATTGTACGTTCACAGTGCGTGGTCTTCACGCACCGCCAATTCATAAACAAAATATCTTCAACTGTTCAATGAAAATGTTTTTATTATTATTTTTTTTTTCTTATCCGTGTAAATTCTAGAAAAAGAAAAAACAAGTGTGCTTATCAATTTCACTTTATTTCTCATTTATTCGATTTTATGGAAATTGGAAAAAGTTTAAGGTCCATAAATTAATAATCTCGTTTAAATAATAATTTTTTTCATTCCCAATTCCGTAAAAAAAGTACTACGTTATTGTAATATTATTGGTTCAATAATTTAATATTTCGCTAATTTAGTAGATTTTATTAGTTTCGAGTGTATTAATTTATAAAAGTTTAACTGTACTACTACTATTTTGTGATGCTAATTTCACTTAATAAAAAATTATAAAAAAAAACAGATAATTATATTAACTTGTCTATTATAAACAACCTTAATACTAATAAAATACTCAATTAATTTCTCAAATCAACATAATTATTTTTATTTTATTTATGTGGTGTACGGAATGGGATTAGAATAAGATGACCAGGCAACTGTCTGTTTTAACGTGACAGCCCCCACATGATATATATATATATATATATATCCCCTAATATATGTACTAATAAAATACTCAAAAAACATTTTATTTTTATTTTTAGAAAAAAAAAAGAGTATTTTTCAATGACGTGTAAATGATATAAAATTGCTATAGATTAAAGAATATTCCTCTAAATATATATACAAAGTAGGAACATTCACTTTTTCTTATGGAATAGAAATTAGATACAATACTATTTTTATACTATTGAAAATAAATATTGCAATAGATTGTTTTGTAAAATGTCCAAAATACCTACATGTGTAGATTGACGTTATTCGAGCCGCCTCGATACGAAGATAAGTTACGAGTACGATCTACTCTACTGATTTAAACCGGCCCAAAAGACAACTCATCTACAATTAACAAAAGATCAAACTTATTTGACCCCGCAAATTAGGTTTTAGATAGTTCAATCGATCCAATTATAAATACACACGGCATGTATTATTTTAAGGTACATGATCTAGATGGATCTTGTTCACTTGAATTTTGTAAATAAACTCGTGAAACATTAAATTTGTATATTCTTTTTTGTAATATAGCATAAAGCAAACAACATGTAAAAAAATTAACCTTGGTTGCATAATATATCAAGTGTGGGCCACCAAGTACATTTCTTGTTACAATCTCAATAACAAAAAAATGGCCCAATAAAACCCATTGCTTTTTTTTATTATTATTATTATTATTAAAAAAAATTTATTATTATTAGTATTATTATTATTATTATTATTATTATTATTATTATTATTATTATTATTATTATTATTATTATTATTATTATTATTTTAGTTTTTCTCGATCAAAAGTAGTGGTTCTAAATCGATGAAATTAGAAAAATGAAGGGCCCTAATGTTTGGCATATACCTTGATCAATGTTGATGAATTATTTTCAAGAATATGTCAGTAATATATATATATATATATATATATATATATATATATATATATATATATATATATATATATATATATATATATGAATTATTATTGTTAAACATCCCACATGTGACATGCCCATCAAAATTTATATGCGTAGACATGGAAATCACTAGTGGCCAATAATTGTATAGCCCTTTTGAGTTGGAGTTTTAGACATTATAGACTTTGTAGGGTATTCACGGTTTTAGATGCTACACCTGATTATATACACTGAATGAGTTTTAAGTATCGAAGTGATTATAAGATAATAACTCATTAAGTACATATATACATTAGTATATGATTATGTGTTAGAAAACCACCGATCGTATATATATGACCAGGTGCAACATCGAATCCCTCAACATTCACAAGAGAGATAAAAAAAGAAATCGGGGATATATTGCTTTGTGCTAACACGTTTTTTCTTCCACTAAATTCGAGGGTTAATTCATATGACAAGTTTAATTTTTTTCAAGGCGTCGAGTGAATTGAAATACTGAATACTCTTAAAAATGTTGGAATACGTGAAATAAATGGGGTTTAACTTATCCAAATGAGAACGATCGAAATTACAAAAAATGAGATTTTTTTTTAACATCCATCACGAAATTGCGAAAAGAACAAAAAACATTTTAAAATCGGATTTGAAGATTTAGAATTTATTATCAAGTATGTCAATAATCTTCAAATATTATGCCATGGCCATGGAATCATCAAGAAATATTTGGCACGATTATAGGTAGGCAAACGAAGAAAGCTTTGAAGGGTACGATTGATTCACTTGTTTTTCAATAATCTTCAATTATATATATATATATATATATATATATATATATATATATATATATATATATATATATATATATATATATATTATCTAATTGTTTGAATGTAAGTACAATTTGGTAAGGCAAGTACTTGTCGTAACAATCGTATACTATTACCAAATAAGGAAAGTGAAAAGCATATATATGAAATCTTACGTACTTAATTTCTATTTCAACGTCCCTAAAATGATTAGCAAACAATTAAATATTGTAAGTATTATTAATCTATTTAATCTCACTGACACTAGAAGATTCTGATGGAATGCAATGGTTGAGTAATAAGAAAAAATGAGATTTTTATTATTTTGTGTATTTATATAATTTAAGGGCTTGTTTGGTTAGAAAGATTATGCCTTTGATATCCTTAATAAGTTATCGTGTCAACCAGCAAAGAGAGCATTTTTATTGGACGTCCCGAAATTCGATAAAATAATTGAGTTTTTCAATTATATCCTATTCTTGTTTTTTTTTATATCTTCTTTTCTTCTACACAGTGTTCAAATTTATTACTTCACTTATCAACAACAATCATGTAGCAAAATTCAATTCGTACGGACATCTGCTGACTGTGATATTTAATTTCTCTAATTTTTAATTTAATTTAATTTTATATATATAAATAATAAATTCAATTACCCTTTCTAGAGTACTTGTCTTGTGTTCTTCCTTTTATTTTCTGTGTGCAATTTTACACATCCATGGTTTCCCTGATCCATTCGAGATGGCTAATTTCTCCTTATCAAGGTTATATATAGATATTATATGTGTGTGTGTGCGTGTGTGTGTGTGTGTGTGTTGTCTTAATTTACTTTTTGCATTGTACGAGGTTGTTATTAATTAGTTGTTATACTCTATTATATTGGTTTTCCCTTCTGCATTCTTAGATTGATTTTATATTATCGTACTGACATTTTTCTGTTTGATTAATTGATTTGATTGTACCTTAATTAATTAATGGCAGTTGTTTTGGAATATTCCGGCGAGAATCAGTCCTTACACCGGACAACGGCGGCGATGAAAGCGAGGAAAATCAAACAATTTCAACCGGCGGCGGCGGGGAGTGCTACGCATGCACTCAGGTGGGGGCCCCGGTTTTCCACTCCACCAGCTGCGACAAAGCCCACCGCCCCGAGTGGGAGGCCTCCGCCGGCTCCTCCCTCCTCCCCATAAGAAATCGCGCCGGCCAGAACCCCGCCGGAACTCGGTCCTCCTCCGCCCGGGGGGCGGGGCAGCCGTTCGGCGGCGGCGTGCTGGACCCGCGGAGGAAGCGCGTGCAGCGGTGGAACCGGGCCTTCCTGCTGGCACGTGGGATGGCACTCGCGGTGGACCCACTCTTCTTCTACGCGCTGTCGATCGGCCGCGGCGGCTCGCCGTGCCTGTACATGAACGGCGGCCTGGCGGCGGCGGTGACGGTCGTCCGGACGTGCGTGGACGCCGTGCACCTCTGCCACCTGTGGCTTCAGCTCCGGCTAGCCTACGTGTCGAGGGAGTCCCTGGTCGTCGGCTGCGGCAAGCTCGTGTGGGACCCACGCGCCATCGCCGCCCACTATCTCCGGTCACTCAAGGGCTTCTGGTTCGATGTCTTTGTCATCCTCCCAGTTCCCCAGGTCATACTCATTATTTACTACCACTTCAATTTAAATAAATAAGGGTAAATTACACTTATACCCCTTAAGTATGCTAAAATAACTTTAAGGCCCCTATAGTATCAGTAATTACAATTACCCCTGAAACATTGTTAGAAACCCTAACGTTTATAATGCATTCGATAAGTTATTCGATTAGGGTTCTAACGAACTATAAGTTTCATGCAGTGGTGAAGACAACATAGAGCTAGGGAGTGACATGACCCCTAGCATTTCTTAAATCATTATTATTTTATATAAGATTTATAAATTTTTGTCTTCGGTAGCATTAAAGCCCCCACATGAAACAAATATAGTGCATATCGGTCCCCAAGACACGAAATTTTGGCTTCCGTAATTGTTTCAGTGGCGTGGCTGTAAGTATCAACCGTACAGACTTTAAAATTATTTTAGCATACTTTAAGGGTGTAATTGTAATTTACCCAATAAATAAAAGTATTCCACCTTCCATTACGTCACCAAACACAGACTTTTTCCACGACTCCCATGTTTTTATTATAAAAATAGATATTCTGGCAGTTGTGGAATTTTAGGCGCAATGATTTAATATCCGTTACAGAAACAGAAATACTTGTCCCATTTTTTATTTATTATTATTTTTAGCCCCTATAAATTTCTATCTTTTGCACTTTCCCCCCTAAATTTTTTTAAAAAATGGATATTCCCCTTCGAAATTATTATATTGATTGCACTTTGCCCCATAAGCCAATTTTTAGAGGGTATTGAGCAATAAAAATAACATTTAAAGGCGCAACGTGCAACAACAATACTCAATTCCAATGAATAATTCATTGGAATTTTGCTATCGGGGCAATGTGAAACAAAAACAATATTTTGAAGGGGATATTCACTTTTAAAAATTCTGAGAGAGTAAAGTGCGAAAATTAGAAATTTACAGGGGGTGATGTGCAATTTGCCCTCATTTTTAATTAGTAAAAATAAACTAATTTTAATTAATTGTGTTTAATTTATCTCTTAATCCTTGCAGGCTGTGTTTTGGTTAGTAGTGCCGAAATTGATCAAAGAGGAGCAAATTAAATTAATAATGACAATTCTTCTATTAATATTCTTATTCCAATTCCTACCCAAAATCTACCATATAATATGTTTAATGAGAAGAATGCAAACGGTTACCGGTTACATCTTCGGCACAATATGGTGGGGTTTCGGCCTTAATCTCATAGCCTACTTCATCGCTTCTCACGTAAGTTAATTAATTACGGATTAATCCTTAATCTCCACGCACGTGTGTAACCTTTCCAACAGGTTGCAGGTGGATGCTGGTACGTGCTGGCTATACAGCGCGTGGCGCTCTGCCTCAAGCAGCAGTGTATTGGCAATAGTAGTTTGTGCAATCTCTCTCTGTCCTGCTCCGACGAGGTTTGCTATCAGTGCGAAACTAGCTCGATTAATTATAAGCCGTTGTCTTCGTGTTTGGATGTTAACGGCCCGTTTCGATACGGGATTTATAAGTGGGCCCTTCCCGTTGTTTCGAGTAACTCCGTTGCCGTCAAGATTCTTTATCCTATTTTCTGGGGGTTGATGACTCTTAGGTAATTAATTCATTATTTAATTAGTATGTCAAAAAATATATACAATGTGATTGGTAAAAAAAGGAAAAGTTTCGATTTTTAATTACTCGATTCGCAGCACGTTCGGGAACGACTTGGAGCCGACGAGTAATTGGCTTGAAGTGATGTTTAGTATTTGTGCTGTGCTTAGTGGATTGATGTTGTTTACTCTGTTGATTGGAAATATCCAGGTGATTTTTTTTTGAAATTGAATGGTGGGAAATTTGAATTTTGAAAAATTTGGCGGTTTTTTTTTTAATAATGGAATTCGATTTTGGGATATGTGTTCATATGTAGGTGTTTTTGCACGCGGTGATGGCGAAGAAGAGGAAAATGCAGCTGAGGTGCCGGGACATGGAATGGTGGATGAGGCGGCGGCAGTTGCCTTCGCAGCTCCGGCGAAGAGTACGCCGCTACGAGCGGCAAAGGTGGGCGGCTATGGGCGGCGGTGATGACGAGATGGAATTGATCAAGGACTTGCCGGAGGGACTTAGGCGGGATATCAAGCGATTCCTATGCCTCGATCTCATAAAAAAGGTACACTGGATCAATTACGAGTATATTTCTGCCTTTGGCGGAGTCAGAATTTTGTCTTTTGAATGAACCTACTTATTAGAAGATAACAAATCTCTATTTTCATATAAAATATTACATTTTTTTAAAAGTGACGGGGGCCGTGACCCCCATTTCCATCACTACGTACCTATTGATAATTAGTATGTGTTTTTAGGTGCCGTTGTTCGATAGCTTGGACGATCTCATCCTTGACAACATATGTGATCGTGTTAAACCCCTCGTTTTCTCCAAAGACGAAAAGGTAGAATTATGTAAAGGGTTTATTGCATTCAGCACCCATGTATCATCTCCAATTACTAAAAAGCTCCTATACTATTCTATCTTTTTAGCAAACTACCCCTAAAACTCACTTTTAGTTTTATTGCATTTTATTTAATTAGTTTATTGCATTTATAAGGGGGTTTTGCTAATATTCGTAACACGAAGAGTTTTTTTAGCAATTCGGGGTACTAAATGCAATAAACTAATTAAATAAAATGTGACTTCCTTTCTTTCAAAAAATTACAGATAATAAGAGAGGGAGATCCGGTCCCGAGAATGTTGTTCATTGTGCGCGGCCGTGTGAAGAGTAGCCAAAACCTAAGCCGAGGGGCGGTGGCCTCCGCCCTGCTCGACCCCGGCGGCTTCTTCGGCGACGAGCTCTTCTCATGGTGCCTCCGCCGCCCGTTCGTGGACAGGCTTCCGGCCTCTTCCGCCACGTTCGAGTGCATCGAGCCGACCGAGGCATTTGCCCTAGACGCGGGCGATCTCCGGTACATCGTGGACCACTTCCGGTACAAGTTTGCGAACGAGAGGTTGACGCGCACCGCGAGGTACTACTCGTCTAATTGGAGGACGTGGGCCGCCGTGAATATCCAGATGGGGTGGCGGCGGTACATGCATAGGACGAGAGGTGCGGCGTTGAGGTATCGATCGGGTGATTACGTCGATACCGATCGGAGGCTTAGACAATATGCGGCTTTGTTTATGTCGATTAGGC